AAAAAATAATTAGAGGTCAGGGAAAATAAAGAGGATGCCCAAAAGCAGAGCACACTATACTTAAATAAAAGCAGATATTCACTTACTTTATCTATACATGGCTTGACACCAATCATGATAGATTCACCAAAAATTCTTCCATCTTTGCTTAAGGCTTTGCGGGCTTGAAGCTTAGACTGGTACCGAATATGCATCCAGTTTCCTGTATTGGACATCTGAATGAGATTAAGGAAAAACTGTCAAATTTAGCCTTTTAAAGAACAAACCAGAATGTTTTCAGAACTAAGTCTCAAACTAAGACATACCACATGCTTTAATATGTTTCCATACTGAGCAAACTGTAGAAGAATATACGAAGCTGATGCTTGAGGAAATCTGAAAGACAAAAAGTAATCAAAGAATTACAACGAGTAGTTTAATAATTCTGGTGTTAAAATACAGTGTTTTGAAGGGGATTTAGAACTCCAAAAAAGAGCAAAGTGTTACTGTCATTTTAGTATCAGTGAACTGAAAAATATTATGTACTAGGCACTTTTACTGCACCACATACCTCACTGGTTGAATGGCTATCATTCTAACTTGAGAAAATTAATATGTAGCTTAAGTTGAGGTGCTCCACTAAAATATATGTATTTGCTGGCTTTGACCACAGTTGTATTTCCTGTAGAACCTAGCAATGCCAGACATCAGCTATGTCCAAGCGGTTCTTCCCATAGGTTGAAAACTTCACCCTTGTTTTTTAAAATACTTTGAAAATCAACTCACCCAAACACAGTTACCCATGTGTCATCAAGTTGATCTTCTGAAGTCAGGGAATCGCCCTGAGTATAAAAAGGATCTAGCTGAGCAGGAGATAGAGTAGTCTTCCTAGGCTGCCCAATACTTACAGGACTGAACATAGCTGAAGCTGTTAAATTGAAATGACATTGTTTAACAACTTACTTTAACAACAGTTATCATCCTAAGAGCCTATACTAAAAAAAATAAATTCAGTATCAAGCATTTATCTTGTATATGGAAGAGTCTGTTGGAGATGTACTTGCAGACACAAACAGTAAGTCAATTTCCACTTCACAACTGCCAACATGCTATTAAGTTTTATGGTTAGCAACCTAGTTTTCTGCTCAACCTCTAAACACCAGCAGCTTAATACAGAAGCCAAACAGGAACATGACAGTGGAATTAAGCTTTGCAAGAAGCCATGGCTTCACACAAAAGATGGGAAGCCTTATGAAGATGGAAGGCAACCCATGAATCTCAGCTGTTTTACCCAAATACAGTCACCTCTGTGCTCAATTCAACAACAAATTCTGAATAAGGAGTAAAGTTGATTGAAGTTCAGTCACAGAGTGGTAAAGCATTTCCAATTCAAATCCACATACCTTTTGAAAAGCTAGTAAATAAACATGTAAATCCTTGACAAATGAGCAAGGAGATGAAGTAGCTTGCATAGTGCTTTTTGTGTATTAAGGAAAGCTTTAACAAAGTAATTTTATGTTTTGACAGAACATTTACCTGTTCCAGGAGTTGATGTCATAGTTCCAACCAGTGGGCTCTGTGTTAAAGAAAAGCTGGCCTGCATTAACATAAAGTAACACGTCATTCTTACAGGTACATTTATCAGATCAGAAGAGATCATTTTCAGCTAACTTAAGCATCCAGTAAGACAATCAACTGCCTTAAGTTACTCCTAATTTTTAAGAGTAAGGACAGATATTTACATGTATATTTAGTACAAGGTTATTAAAAGTTATTGGACAATGTTTTCACAGCCTAGCAGACAATAGCTTGGACTACTACATTAAGTAGTGCTCAACTACTGTATTTTGCAATTTCCAGCTGATTATTAAGCCTTAGAAAATAATGCAGTTAACTTTCCTACTCAGAGGCTTAAATGCAAGTACCAGAGATGGTGTCGGTGTAGAGCAAACCCCAGGAGGGAAGCACCACAAACACAGGAAACAGGGTCTGCCTACAGTATTTTATCATCTAGCAAGAGCTACTAGTAAGCAAAAAGACAGTTTATTCAGGCTTAAGGTGAGTTTTCTGAAACAGGAACTGAAACATCCACTACTTAACACCAATCACACACGCTTTGTGAAAGCAAGTAGCTTTAGGTATCAAGACTCAGAAACATTCTAGACTAACTTTTATCGAAATAGGCATTGCACTATTGCTGTAGTATAGTAATTCACACAGTCAGGTGCATCCTGATGGAAAGTATGTCAGTATCCTAAGCTACTCACATCTGATTTTCAGTGTCTTAAAGGCTTAGAACTCAAGGGAGCACATCCCCCACTTGTATTCCTTTTCACTAGACTTACTGTCCCTCTCAACTACTTAGTGCAAGCAAAGGGAAGGAAAGTATACTTAAGATTTTTAGCTGCTAGTAGTTATTTTCTTTTTAAGACAGAAGGATTTCAATATCCAAAACAACTGCAGTGTATTTTTACCCTCAATTGTGGCATTTAGTAGATAGGAGACCAAACCAACTAGAGCACCTGCAGACCTAGCAACATGCATTCCAACTGACACACTGGGTCAAATATCGTGTCTTTTAAGACAGTTCTGGATTCTGTCCTTCACAGAGAGTTTGAACTTGCAAAATAAGCATTTCAGAAGGCAACACTCAAAAGAACTCTACTCGTTTAGGGAAAGGTCACCTCCTTGTATCAAAAGAATGATGCTCACTGAAAAAGAATCCACTAACGCTTGACTGCTCAGCTGAGTAAAGCAGTTGTGCTTAATATTAGAAAGACCTTCTAGATATTTTACTATTATTTTTTCAAAATAGACCCCATGTCCCTGCCTGAAGTTTGATTAGATACTCTACTCAGCACAAAATTCCTCCTGTTTCAGGAAGTGCCTCTATTGCCCACTAAAAGAAAACACATACTTGGACCTTTCTGGCAATCAGCAGCCCAACAAACTTACAAGAAGGCGAACTACAGGAAATGGCCTCAAATTGTGGCAGGGGATGTTTATATTGGATATTAAGAAAAATTATTCACTGAAAGGGTTGTCAGGCAGCGGAACACGCTGCCCAGGGCAGTGCTGAAGTTACCATCCCTGGAGGTAGTTAAAAGATGAACAGATGTGGTGCTAAGGGAGATGGTTTAGTGATGGACTTGGCAGCACTGTGTTAACAGTTGGTCTTGATCATCTTAAAGGTCTTCTCCAACTAAAACAATT